TCCCAACCCCCCAAAAACCAAACCATCTCGCTCTCCCTCTCGCTGTGATACTTGATATCTCACTCTTTCTCGATCATGCCAAATTCGCTTGACGCCAAGACCAACTCGCTGATCGGTTCATTTGCAACGCACTACCCACTTCGCCCCCTAAAAAAAACAAACTCATGCCGCACAGATTATTCTTTTTTGTTTGTTTTTCTTTCCATTGGCTGATGTTCTCATGGGAATTTTGCTTATACAGCTTTCGAGTTCAAATGGTTTGTTGTCTCTTGTACCAAATTAAATTTTTTATTTGAAGAAAGCGTGAAAAAGATGGGCTTTCAACTCAGATAATATACGTCAATTTGCCAGGGATTAGAAGTCAGCTGGCAATGCGAATCAAGTCAGCCCATAATTGTTAGGATCTAAACAAACCCAAACATTTTCATTCGAAATACAGGTGACTAGAGTCATTAACATATTTTACTCAGGCGCCCTCCTTAAAAAAATTAATTAGAGGTCATTTAAAGTACGAGGTATAAGACGTCAGTTATTCCAAGACACAAAAGGAGACAAAGAGCTGAGAAGTATTTTTTAACTATTTCTGGGCAAGTTTTTAGAAATTCCTGGCAATTACACGCTAATCCGGATCGGATAACTTGGACAGCCTCCACTTTATTTTAGAGAATCATCCAGCGATTATCCCGACACTTACAATAGGCTCTGGGTATTAGTTTTAATCGAGGAATCGATAAAGATTATTTGGCGCTGGCCGCGAAACACGAAATGAAAGAGATTGAAGATAACTCTGAAACAATTTGGCCGATCCACATAAACATTTCAACAATAGGTAATCTGGTAACACAGGGCAAACACGAGAGGGCCGAATCTAAATGAAAAAGTAAACACTTGTCGAAGCACGTTCACAAACAGCGCGCAACAGCAATATAAGAGCAGAGCGAAAGAGAGGGCAGGCGTTGTGTTCTATCAGCAGCTCTCTCCCTCTCTCCCTCTCTCGTTCATCTTTTATTCATCTGCCTGGTTGGAGTGATGCTGCCACCTTTTCTTCCGCGCTCGGAAATTAGCGTTTAATAGCCGGCCGAACGCGCATTAGCATCGCTATCAAAACGTCATCGGGTTTCTCAATCCTCGCCCGTGTCGCTCGCACGCACGCTAGCGCTGCCGTTCGCTCGTGGGAACGTCGCGCTTCGACGCTGCTGCCCCGTCATAAATAAACAATTAACACGGCGCTGTTAGACACAGCTTGCGCATCCGCGGCGCGCCGGGAAAATCGGGCCGAGAGGGACGATTTGAAGAGGACGAGGCCGCGCGCTGAGCTTGTGCTGCGCTCGCGCTGTCAATATTTGGAGGACGACAGGAGTCGCGCGCAAGTGCACTGCAAATATAGACCTCGTCAGCTCGAAATTTTCTGGGAAGCGGAAATGCCGGCAGGCGGGTAGGGGCAACGGCAGGCGATCAGCCTGCACGCGCGCGCCGATAAGCGCTTATCTCGCCGGAGAGGGCAGAGCAAAAAGAAAGAAAAAAAAAACGCCCGCAGAACACGTGTCGAATCCGAATGTTTGACGTGCGCGCTCGTCGTTATTATCCATTAGCGGTGTACGGAGAGTCCGACTGACGGGCAGAGAGCGCAGGGGAGCGTCACGTTTGCCAAGCTCAAACACCGGCTTATCTTAATTCTCGGCTGAAGAAAGCCCCGAATTATCGAGACGCGTCGATGCGCTTATCTTGATATTTCGCGTCCTGTCTCACTACTTCTGCGACCGCTTCCGCGTGTTATTTTTTCGTGGCACACAAAAGCCAAGGGTCCGGGGCCTCGTTATTGGCCGGCTCTCCGGGCAGACAAGCCGCTGTTTTCTCAAGATTCGGCCGGCGCGCGAGCTGACGATTCTGACAGTCCGGAGGGCGCGAGCAGCGGGGACTTTTTAACTCGCCAAGATAAGCCATCTCTGCGGGGCTCGCGCGGGCGACCAAATTGGGGGCCCCGGCCGTCCTTCCTCGTACCCTCGGCCAGCGGCCTTTTATGTTGTCTGCACGCGAGAGAGCGCGTGCCCGCGATGATGCTGCACTTCTTTCCGCTCTTTCTTTTTAGCCCGTCCACTCCTCTGCTGCCTTCTACGCCGACGCGCTCTCATACACTTTCCGCCTTTCCACGCTAATTATATCTCTCATTATCGTCATCAGTTCTTTCTATATCTTTTATCCGAGATCGTCTGATTACTATTGCGCCTTTCGATATTGAAATATCGTGGGAGAGAGAAAAAAACTCTTGGATTCCTTCGGTCGTGCACCGCTGTTTTGCTTTGCCCAAATTGCCCGTCTCACTGACTCTAACGCTTATAGCGTTTCGTTGTAAGCTATTCTGCCAATCACATTCATTTCCTCTTTCCGCACAATTGCATTACCGAGCAGTTCATACGCCCAATATCACGATAACAAGAGTCATTATTTTCAACAGTTTAATTGTCGCAACGTGTATCTCCCAGTGTGATAAGATGCAGTAATGAAATTAAATTACAGCTCTGACAGCTCGTTAATAAATCAATGAATTGATACTATGTACACACGCTTCACAGATTAAGCGTCACTTCCTAAGCTAATTTGCATAACTGGCTGAGTAGATTTAACTTGCAAAGCAAACACTTCATGTCAGTGAACAATAGCGACATCTATCTAACTTCTTTAATTTCATCTGTTGAAAGTCGAGTAGGAATCCACTTAACCGACCGCGAAATCGCGGCTCATCAGTCATTATCTGCTAAATATATACATATTATACGTTAAAAAGTAAAACGAAAAAATTAAAATTTTAAATGTTTTATTATTGACATATTTTTCAAAACCATTTACAACGACGAAATAGTTGATCAATATTTATATTTTTCATTAATTCAGTGAAAACCAAATACAACGACTTTCATCGCAGCTTTCTTCGTAAATCAAAAATCGACAACATCGTACACTTCATAATCAGCAGATCTGTCGAGCCCTACTCCGTTTGCAGATGTTACAGTAAACTAGCATTCCAATCTGCATTACATATTTGACAATTTTGAAAATTGTATATCTAGCGAGTCAAAAATAAAGTTACTTTTTCGACTCATCGTTCGATTATCACAATCGCCAACAGATTATTGCTCTGTAAATACTACATAAAATCGATTTATCTCAAAAATACGACAAATGCTAATATTCGCTCTAAACAACAGCTGTTAAAATAGTTTCAAAAGCTTTTTAAAGAGTCTCATTTTGGCCGAATACTTGTAACACTAAAATCATGTAATCGAAAATGTGTAGAAATTGACGGCATTATATTAGCGGTATATCGTTTAATTACACAGTGTTTTATAAAGTACGCTTAGGTACACAAGTATTGATCGTCATTTTATTTTTTATATATCTTCGCGATTTTTTTTTTATTCGTCGATGATGCCAATATTCAAGAACGATGCTCGATTGCTGTATTTTTAAAGTAAGCAGTATTTGTTTAATAAACATTTCGAACATGTATCAACGAAAATAGAAATCATTCAGTCAATTCGCTAACTGAACACATCTATCATGTAGCCTCTACAATCAAGAATATCGCGACATCTCATTTTCATCTGCAAAAAATGATGACAAAGCGGAGCCACTTGTATAAAGACGATAATAATCCAGTGGAGAGAGAGAGAGAGAGAGAGAGAGAGAGAGAGAGAGAGAGAGAGAGAGAGAGAGAGAAGGAAATAGTCGTGGAATATCAGAAATGTCGCCTCAAAAATAGACAAACGAGTGATTCTCCCTAAGGGCAACAGTTGATGGTTGGGATGTGTGCACGATTCGCATCGATCCGGCGCGTACGCAAGTGCCTCTTTTTTCATCTCGCAGCAGCCCCCAGCAGCCTGGACGTTGCTCTTTGGATCGGGCCGTTTCTTCCTCTTCGCGATCCCCACCAAACCACGGCTGCTGCCGTCTGGACGTCATGACCTTTATTCTATTGCTGCCAGACCGTATTCCCGGGTGCATTGCTTCGCTTGTCAGGCCTGTTTAGACAAAAACACGTCTGAGTTCGCGGGTCGAACGCATTAGATCTGTGGTGAAGGAACGGGAAGTCAATGGAATGAGAGAATCACGCCGTTCCGACAGATACACGTGAACGCGCGATGGAAGAACATTGCGAGGAACTAAAGCCGACGATGAACTTTTTTGTAAAAACGAAAAAAAATGTATATATCGAGAAAAGTTCAAAAGAGAACCCTGAAAAATTGTGACGTATTTGACAGGCGCGGACCTTGAAACGAGATAAGCATTTGCTGTGCAAATGAGCTGACCCCTTGAGATGATCTAAATACGCTAGTTTTAGGGGTTAATTGAGATCGATACAATTTATAGCTATGTCAGCTTTTTTCCTGCATCTCTGCATCGCACATAGTCCCTAACTTTGATGAATTTATCGTGGCACCCGCCGTCCAAACTCGAAATGCTTGACATAGATAGACTACGCGTTAGTATTAAATTTCCAAAATGAAGTAGTACGTTTCCAAGTTTGTGGCGGCTGATAAATATCATAACCTATTGAATTGGAATTCACTGGGAACGCTTAATTTCGAGAGTAGAAAAGGCGCGCAGCGCAGCGTGAAGACGATAAAGCGTAGCCAGGATAAGAAGAAGCCGACGAGACAATAGGATTGCAGCGACGAACGATCTTCCGAGGAGTCCAGCGTAATGATTTTCAGATCTGAATCTTTATTTACCGGCAAGCTCGCTCGGCAGCAATCAAGGCCGCCGCGGCACGAGCATTCGGCGTGCGCGCGCGAAAGCTCGCAAGCTCGCTCCCTCTTTCTCCCTCTCCTCCCGTCCGACCGGGGGGTAGCCGAACGTGCGGCTGCGCGCCTACCCGTTCTCGCTGCCTCGGCGAGAGATCAATACTCTCCCTCTCGCGCTGGTGCTGCTACCACCACCTCCACCACCACCACCGCCGCCACCGCCGCCACCGCCGCCGTCGTTGCTGCCTCGTCGAAGGTAGTAAGTAGTCTACTCTCGCGTGTCATGCGTGCGACAGCTGCTTCTTCTGTTGGCTAACCCTTGGAGTTGCCGGTGCGTGCGACAGGCAGTTGCCGCGAGCTCTCCACCTGATCTTGTCCCACGCCGTGTGCTGCTCTCGCTGCTGGGTCGCTTCGTCGCGTGGATTCGCGCTGCGGCATGGATCGAGCGAGGGAGGAAAGAAAAGCACGAGGCAGAAAACGGGAGCGGGTCTATGAGCGGGCGCGCGTGCAAGGTCGTGCGCACGGCCCATAGAAATCGAAGCGAGCTTGCTGGCTTTCTTTGCTCCTTGGCTAGGCGCGCGAATGCAAAGGCGAAGTGACACCGGCTTGTTTGCCCAGTCGCACGACCCGCGGGCGGCACACGGAGCAGGGCACGGACGGGTCAAGGGTGCGAGCTTCTCCGTTCTGGGCGCGTATCTTGCTTGCTTGGGGCGGCGCGGGGGCGGGGGGAGTAGCTCCGCGAAGATTATCGAGCGAGGCGCACGTGAGGCTGCGTGAAATCGACGGGGAACCTCAGGGCTGAGTGACAGGCGCGAGTGATACATGTATATGTCCGTCAGGGAGGATGCTGCTGACTCTCAGCGAGGAGAACGAGGACCCGGAGAAAATCCTCTAGGAGCTTACTCTCCTCACCTCCTCTTCTTCTTCGCCGTTGGACTTATTCTTCAGTTCCGTTCTGTTTGACCGCCGATGTATTGACACGAGCTTTCAATCAACATCCCTGTGTAGGTCCGCTGGCTTTTTTTCCGGGCAGTAGCAACAGTAGCAGCAGCAGCTTTTGAAGGGTGAGTCTCTCTCTCTCTCTCTCTCTCTCTATCTCGCTTTACGCTCGCAGCGCCGTCTAGCCCTATACTGTAATTGATGTGCCTCCTCATATTGTACTCGAGCTCTGCCCTTTATATTTTGTCGAGCAACGAAGTTAGACCGTGCATTGTGCGAAAGCTTGCCATCGATCGTTGGGCTTGCGGATAGTTATAGAAACGATTGTGCGAGCGAGAAAGTTTGATGAGCGAACAGTTCCAGGAAACTCCAATGTCCTCGCTGAAATTGAAAAGCTTTGAGAGTCTTTTGCGATGAGATTAGCATCGAGCGGCGGCCTCATCTCTCTCTCTCTCTCGCTCTCTCTCTCTCTCTCTCTCTCTCTTTCTCTCTCTCTCTCTCTCGCACAGCAGAGATGTTCTCGAAAGGACCTTCGTTGTCAGCAAAATGCGCGGCTCAAGGTGAGCTTATCGGCGCGCTCTGCACAACTATTGCTTCTTTTCAACATCGCTGGCGAATTCGTGGCTCTAGGTGCACGTGGCATGCTGTACGCTAATTATTATTTCTAGCCTTTCCGTTCTTGCTCGTCTTTAACTGGTCTATCGAGGCGATGACACTTTCGTCGTGCTGCGAGCGCACGTTTTTCGTCGAAAAATCGCGATGGCTTACATGATAACTGAGCTTTCTCTCTTCTCTCGTTTCCCTCGTTTTCGGTCAAAAGTTAAAAAGTTAATCTGAAAGTTTCATAGATAAGATCGCCTGCTTTGCTTATCTTGCGACCAATCTAAGCTCTCATGTTTTGCAAATGAAAAATCTGATAAGCGTAATCCACTTAGAAATACGTCACCCGCAGGATATATGTACATATCAGAAAAATGTGATGAAGTTACTTCGCTCACAGCCGGGGAAGAATAATATTGAAAGATATTTAATTTTTCTCTAAGTAACCTTACTTTTTATTAAAATTTATACAAGGTTTGCTTGGATTATTCGTTATGGCTATAAATCGCCGTGTCTCCTTGGACGTATCTCAATAAAACTATATTATTGCCAGTCAGAGAGTTTCAAAACGACCGAGAATGAAAGTTTTTATGAGCTTTTAGTAATGCTTCTCATTTTTACGTGCTCGAGTCAGGAAAAAAATTTTTTTTAATGTAAGATCAAAGCTGATCTGCTCTGCGCGATTTCATATGCAAAGTCCTACGATTTCATTTATTGTTTTATTTTTCAACGAACGTACAATGTTCTTACCAAAGAAACGCTACACAACAGCCGAGTATCGGGTAATTTTTTTTGAACAGCGAATGACAGAATTAAATAAAATTAGCGGAACGAATTTTGTTGAAAAAATCGTTAAACTATATGCAAAGTTTAGGAAGAATGCGCAAGAAATGACTGCAAACGAAGTGACGCCGCAACTCGTACATTTGCTTTACGTCTAAAAAAAAATTCTGTTCGGAAAGCCGCGACGTGAAAAAGGGGCCTCTGTTGACTGAATCTGAAGTCCATTCAACGCTGCAATTATGGAAATGCTCTGCATAATGCGCTTATTTTGCTTACTTTTTCTCGGTTTTCGACTAGCTAACACTCGCCAAGTGCTAGCTTCAACGAATGGTAATTAGAGCTCTGCTCAAAGCACTCGTGACCCATTACGAAAACGAGGAAAAAAAAGCCTATAGACGATAATCAACGAACGCATACATCGCCCATCGGAATTTCGCTCGGAATCTCATTTGATTTTTTCTCTCACCTTCGCGATTTCGAGAAATGTGCCAACGATTTTGGCATACAGCTGAGAAAACACGCAGGCGTGCGGCGAGGAAAAAAAGAGAGCCGATGATGTAACAGGCTGTGTTATTTGTCGAGCGGGCTTATGCCTCAACTACAGAAATCGCGAGCTTTCCTCGGATAGCGCCGCTCGCACGATAACGCGTTCGGTTACCTTGCTGGCCTCGCCGCCGACGACTCGCCAGCTGAAATACAGCGACGAAAAAAGGCACGGGCGTCCCCTAGAGAAACGGAGCGTGAAAGAGCTTCGCCGAAGCTCCGACTGCGAGCAGACAGCTCGACGCGTCCGTCGAGGCAAATGAGTGCGAGGAGTAGCCGCTGCCGCTGCCGCCGCCGCCGCCGCCGCCGCCGCCGCCGCCGCGAGCATTAATCAGCGGCTTATCGGAGTTTTGTTGTTGGGAGCGCGAGCGAGCTGTCGAGTAGCGAGCGTTATGTGCGCCAGATATATATACGTGATCGCGACAGACAGCTATACGCGAGAGATTCTCCGCAGGTGAGTATTAACCAGCTATCTCCGGTTTGAGGCGGTCACAACCGACTGCGTGCTCGAGAGATGTATTCTCGATCGATATGTCTTTCCTAGCGACGGGCGCTGCCCTCGGACTACGACGAGGTGCGTCAGGCACGTGCAGCTTTGGAAATAGTACGAGTACGCTTTGAGAGAGAAAAAGGGAGAGAATGAAGGGAAAAGATAAGAAAAGTGCTCCCGCCGGTAGCGAGCGAGAGCTGAAGATTGACGCTGTAGAGACGCCGCGAATATATGCATCCGATTCCAAGTAGCGCACAAGACCGTCTACGAAAAGATCGTGCATTAATGCCGCATTAGTTGGAACGGTCTTCCGGGCCGATAATCGACGGCTGTCGTACCTCGCGCGATATTTCGTGCCTTTCACTACGCGGCCCCCGCGGGGACAGTGGACGAGGCTTCGACGCGCGACGAACGCTCGTTTCTCGCCGGATTTTTTATGAAACTCGGCTTGGATTTCGCACTTCGTGAGCGAGAAAACAGACGGAGAGGCGGATGGAGAAGGCAAGCAAGCTTCGGGGAATCGAAGTCGCGCGAATTCCGTGACGATTGTCGGTAATTGAGCGGATCGCCGGCGACGTCGCGTCCGAAGAGAACAGCGCGTACACTCTTCTGGCGCACCTCGAACGCCGTGAGCCGCGGGCGCTAAAAATAGCCGCGAAAAGCGCATCTGCGGGCGAGCGAGGTGGCGGTGCGTGCGCGCGCGCGCGCGCGCGGGTGGAGGGAAGAGATAATCAACAACAACAATGCCCGGAGTATATTAACGCGTGGACAACGCGCAGGGAGGAGCACAAGCGCATTCCTCTTATCAGAGAGCAGTCGCTCTCTTGCCGCGGCACGGCGAGGCAACGAGGACGGACGGACGAACGGACGTACGTACGTACGTACGTTGTCTATCGAGTAAACGCCCGCCGAAGTGAAAAAGCCAGTCGGCGCTGCGCAGCCAAAGCGCGCACTCACACGCGCGCGCGCGCGTGACGCCCGATTGTGACGAGATCTTTTCGACTTTTAATCCCGAGCGCGAGAGTGTCAGCCAGTTGAGAAGATGCTCGGACTGATGAACGTGCAGTGCCGCCCGTAGCAGCGACCAGTGCGCGATCGCAACTCTGCAGCCATGAGCTTCTCGACACACAAGTACGTCGACGATAAGTCAACCGTAAGCTGGCCTATTGCCGATAACAATTTCAACAATGCTTTTCCGTTATCTTAACGCCGTTGCGTGCGCGAATCGTTGCAGTCGTCGGCGCGGCCGCGGCCGGACTGTCCGCGCGCTCGGGGGGCGTGCGCGAGTCGCCGCGCTCGCTCGGGAGAGGCTCGGCAGTTTTTTTGGCACGGCGTCCGAGGCTCACCGACGATCGCGCGACCACCTCGCGATAAAGAGAAAAAGCTCGACGAACGGTGCGCGCGTGGACGAGAGCCACGAGCCCGGAGTTTCCACTGCAGAGCACTGCTATCACGTGCGCTTTCGTGACTGTCGGCCTGCTCGGCGAGATGCACGCTCGTTCGTAGGCGCGAGCATGAGGCAATGCAAGAGGAAATCGCGACTCGCTTCTGCCACTTCTTACTTTCTATCGTCCGTGTGAAAATCTTTTGCCCACGCGATTCTTGCAATGTTGCCAAAGACATACGCATCGGTAATATATCTATAAATAAAAACGCTTGCGATCATTTCATTCAGTGACACACATTCAGCCGCTGTTGCTTTTTTAATTGCAAACCAAAATAATCACCGTTCTTTTGTCGATGCGTCGGTCGCACACGTATGATTCATACGCCCCTCGTACATAAATGAAACGAATTGAGAACAAATCGGATTTCATTTGCTCGTAGCTCAAATACAAATATTTGTTACGCTTTCATGCCGAATTATTGGTGGCCCGATCATTCTCTGGGATATTTTCAAATTTACTCAACTGCAACCGAAAATACTTTGAGAAGGTTTCCAACGTCAGATAAAAGCCATATCTCTGATAAAGTCCTTTTTCATGAATTTTTCAAATCCGTCATCTGACCTCGAAAAATTTCGAAAACTACTGTAATACATTAATACGAACCGTTCGACATTCTCCAAATTTCCAACGAAGAGCTTACACTCTTTACTCGCGCTGCCAGTGGCATTTACAAGCCCGCAGATAAAGTATACTATGCAAACGATCGTAAAAGCAGTCAAGTATATATCAGTATCAAGTAACAAGTTGCACCTTTAAGCGGCAAGTGCCTCAATCTCGCGTTTCTAACGTGTCGGCTACTTTGTATGTATACACACTCGAAAAGCTATATCAACGCCAGCGTTTACACAAGGTTTTATCGTATTACGCTTCTTTTTCTCTCACTCTCTCTTCTCGCGAAATTGCAACTCTGCGAAGGACATATCCCCTCGGCGTCGCTCTCGCGGAAAAGCCCGCAACTGGTGTAAATTCAACAAGTGCACTTTTTGCGAAGTCGCCCTATTCTCAAGATACTCGCGAGCGCAGCGAAAAATTGCAGGATAGGGCGCAGCTCATTACTATGCGAGAGAGAGAGAGAGAGAGGCATTAGTAGCTATTTATCTCTGGAGAGTCCGCACAATCGCGTGTCTACCTCCAGTACAGAGCCTCTGCGCGGGTTGTCGCGGTTGCGTACTCGGCACGAGGAAAACGCGACAAGGACTTTTCAATGGTTTCGATCATGCGGAAGTTCGATATCGTTAATTATTGGAGTTCCGTGCAAGGATTCACACGGAGAATCGCTCTCGGGATGAAAATTCATTGGTCGCCGCACGCGACACCAATTTCGATCCGAGTCGAGCGCGGGATAACGGGTGGGTATCGACGACGACGATCACGACGACGACGTGCACTCCGGCGCGTCAATTAAAAAACCGAAATCGCGAGCGCGCGGCAGGCGCTCCTCTCGTGGCTCGATTCCGATTCGTCTCGGTCGCGCGATATTATTAAGCGCGCGCATACGCAAGCGCTGGCGTAGCCAAGACGCAAACGACGATCGCGGCAGAATGTGTCAAATGTGGCGCTGCGGTGCGACGCGGATAATCGCCCGCGGGTAATTGTCCACTTGACGGACGCGTAATCAGCGGCGATCTTGACATTCGTACGCAGACTCGTGCCTCGCTCGGTCGAAAAGCTGGCCGCGCGCGCCTGTTCGCGTGCGTTGCGTAACTTTTGCCTGGCACAGCGTTCGGGGCGCGGAACGCTGGATCTGGGGGGGAAATCGAGGCGTCGCGCGAATGTGAAAAACTCCGCGACGACGTGGTTCGCGCGCTCTCTCTCTCTCTCTCTCTCTCTCTCTCTCTCTCTTTACTTGCGCCTCTTATTTTCGCGCTCGGACGATTGGAAAGCGCTCGAAGCGCATTCCAAGAAAAACCAATTAAAACTAATTAGCGCTGCCGTTGACTAAGCCGCTGCTGTTCGTATATACGGAGGTATCTATGAATTTCTCGCGGCTAAATATACACGCGTGCGTGCGTGCTTTGATGTGTGTCTATCCGCCGATCCGCCGATCCGCCGAAGGCTTTAAGTGCAGCTTACTTCGTTTTTGCCGATCCAACGGCTTCTGCTTGCGCGACGCTATTGTGTTTACATAGCGGGATGATATAACGCGCTTGTAACGACATTAAATCCAAAACCGTAAAGATGACTGACGTCTAAAAGCGCTCGGCTGGCAAATTGGCTATACGTGCGCGCGGCGGCTATCGTTTGTGAATAGAATCAACTTTCTGCGAGCGAGGCTGTTGCGTAACGCACTCTTGACCGCTAAATAGGAAGCCATTAATTCACCTACGAATTTGCCAGGCGCTGCTCTAACGCGATTGTTGACAGTGCCGGCGTGCCGCGGCACTCTGAGCACCGAAGACGACGAGGCGCTCGCGCAGCCTTGCGAATTGCTTATCCTCGCGAGCACGTGCACGCGCGCCAAAGTTCGACAAGTTGTCGGCGTCACCGCTGCCAACCAGATGTGCCGCCCGTCGACCTCTTCCAGCACTCGCGTGCTCGGATTCTTGACCTAGATCGGCACATACATTATGCGCGCATTTTAATAGCGGATTATGCACTTTTCTTTGTCGTCGCCAGACGGCCTGAGTCACGTCCACGTAATGCGAGCTAAGTGTTTCGACCGTCGCCTTTTTCGACTCTCCACTCGGAAAAGTCGCCGTCGCTAACGAAGCCGCCGAACGTGGCCTCGCACAGTGGCGTTACAACGACAGACGGACGCGAGCCAGCTCCAAGAGCTCCTTGCACGTCTGTTCTCTCGATTCGACTCGTCAGCAGACGTCTTGTGTATTCCACACCCTGTCGCCGTTATTTCTAGCATCGCGGCTTCATTTGACTTTGCGCGCGCTCGGGTCGTATACCCAGCCGGCTCGAGCTCGGCTGTCGTAGACTAAAGCTCGGACCGCCGATACACATGAATTAAGTGTGTCGCGGTCGGATGCATTAGTTACGATGCTTATTAGTGTGCAGCTTCGAGATAAAAGCTACACTCGCGCGCCTCTCGACTGAAATATTATCTTAGTCGGGAAAGCACTCTTATCTTTTTCACAGTTCGTTATTGTTCGTGATCTTTGACCATTATTGACAACGAAAAAAAGCACAGTGCACGCACTTTTGTCACTTTACCCGCAGTTGTCTTTTATCGCTGAATACTTATCGTTCACCACGTATTACGTTGTTAAAGTATTACGAGCGTTTAAAAAGATACTACAAAATGACGTTCCCATATTAAAGTATACTTTTTTTTTTTGTTTTTTTATTATCAACGTCCTACAGTCAATCTTTCTTTATGCGGGAAATAAATTTTTGTTTATCTTCAGCTTCGCAAACAATTTTTATGATAGAGAATGAATTTGAAGTTCGTGTTTGACTTGACGTTTCAAATACACGAGCTGGTTTTCCTTCTTCGAAACATCACGTCGCGAAATAGATTAGCTTGGACGTCTCTTCAAAACTGACAATAATTCAGCACCGCGAGCTGTTGATTAAGTCAGTGCTGTTGCGCTTACCACCTGTCATCTTGCTACGGCGATTGCCGCATTCAGTAAGTCCCTTGACGATTATCGCAGCAAGGCCAAGGAAATGATTTCCACGAGGCCACGTAATCGGCCCTCGTGCGCGCAATTCTTTAAACGCTTCCTGGTCGTGCGACGTGGCCGAGGCATCGAAATTCCAGATGAGAACGCCAGACTGCAGTTCCCTCGGCAGTTCGTCGGGACAGGCGCGCGCCCAGCGAACGTACAAGTCGGGGGTGGAAGAGTAAATCGAGCGCGCTGGGAAGGTTTTCCGAGCGGCCGGCCTCGCGCGGTGGCTTTCTCGCCGAGTGCGAGCTTTTATCCGAGCGCGGCGCGCCGGCGCTCTCGGCGATCGCTCAGCTCAACCCGCACTTATCCAATACTTTCACGTCAATAGCGCTCGTTAAAAATGTCAAGGTTCAGCGGTATAGCTTGCGCAATACGCGCACTTTGTGTTTCTTGTTATTTTCCTTTTTCTCGGAAAATTAGCAACGCTAAAAACGCCGACCGGCAACGCGTTTTCGCTGCAGCACACGCGAGTTTTCGTGCGCAATTAGTATCGGTGTGCAAGAACACCTGTTCAGCCTAATTAGGCGTTTCAAACATTTGCATTAACAGAGAGAGAGAGAGAGAAAGAGAGAGAGAGAGAGAGAGAGAAGGCGACTGTTTAGAGAACTCTGTCTAGTTTTCCTACGTTGCGGAGTCGTTAATTGCGCAACTCTATTAGTCGCTGTAGTTTAATGCCTTCGTTTGCGCGTTGATGTCGCAGACCGTGGATGCAGCCAGGGGCTGGAACCGGCGGTGGTGGCGGTGGCCACCAAGCGCCGACTGGACAAGCTGGTGGTGGTGGCGGCACTGGCGATGACGAGGCACCCAAAGACCCTGGTGCGCGGATTACTCATGCCTCCTACACAGAAAAGGACTTTGAAGGTAACTTCTTTATTTATTTGACTATTTATGTATCTACTCCGGAAGAAAATTGTCTTCGGTCCCGGTGTTTCGGTGACAACACCGTGTACAGTTTCGTGTAATTTTCTTGCACTCGGCGAGCCGTCGAAAACGCTGACATTTTCATTAAATAAAAAAGCATTTATCGACATGTTGCCCGATCCTCATCGGATTAGCGAACTAGAGCGATCTCTGGGGAAGGGTTGATTTCGCAGCCAGGTCGCGTCTGTGATTGTCCCAGCGACAGAGTAAAAACTGTGGTACGCTCGTACAGCGAGCCATATAAAAATCACCCTCGTCTAATCCGCAGTATGACGTCAAATCGGGGCGATCGAGCGCATGTCACTGAAAATAAAAGTCGATTCCCCGCCGCGTCGAAGCTCAATCATCGAATTCGCGCACGAGAATGAGAGAGAGAGAGAGAGAGAGAGAGAGAGAGAGAGAGAGAGAGAACGACAACAATCCTCTTGCTTATTGGCTCGCTCTATAAATGCTCGGCGGGACACGGACGCGAACCTCGAAGACGATTGCCTATATAGGTCACAGCATTATACGAATCTGGCTTCTTCGTGTGTGCATACATACCGGTGCTTCGAAAATCGTTAGCAGCCCTTGACTTTGCCGCCGCACGCGACCACTAATACTCGAGATTCGAGTGCGCTATTGTTGCGAGCGCCGTGCGCGCGTGTATTTGCATAGCCGATTTGAATTTCAAATCAACCGGCGCGAACTGCCGCGAGGGCATGCAAACTCAATTGGGAGGCACAACGTCGCGCATTGTCGCCGACAAAAACAATTGGACGAAAAAGGTGAATGAGCAGGGAGAAGGTGAGAGAGGAGCCGACTATTGAGGCTGTTCGATCCGTTTTAGGTCACCGAGCGCACACGGTCTACGTGGGTGTGCACCTGCCCGGCGAGCGCAGGCATCGTCGCCACCACAAGCATCATCATTCCAAGGGTGGTAATGGCAACGGCAAGGACGAAACGGACCTCGACAGGCCCAGTGAGTAACGACATCTCTGATCCTTTTTCTGCCTGGTTCTTTTTTTTACAGCTTCTTGCACAGAGCAGCGGACTTTACGGTGATATAATTTATCAGTTGAATACCTCGCGACAAGAGAAATTAATATGCCGGAGCTTTCACCGAGTGCGTGTGTCGTTTGCGTCACGCGTGTCTAACGGATTTTATTTTTAGGTCAATGTACAAATTTGATTTTTTATTCTTCTGCCGCAACATTTTTAGACCATGCGTGGCTGCATATAATCTAATGAAAATACACTAAAGCTAGACTCTAATTATTTAACAAATTATGAAACGATTGGCGTCGGAACTTAATGGATGTATACCGAGCCAGGGACACCTCTCGACTTCAGATAAACGTCGAGAATGTACAGAAGCCGGCGCAGCTTGGAAATGAAAGTTATGCGATTATCAACAAAGCCATTAGTAGCGATTTTCTTCAAATCAGTACTTCCATTTAATTAATGAGTTTGACTTTTAAAACGTATGGAATAACAAAACGAACTTGGACGTTGGCTGACGACACGCTCGAGAATGGTATTTACGAGGACCCTTATAATAGCTTCATCAACTTTAACTGAAGAATTTATCAAATCGAATGATAGGAAAGCTTAAAAGTTTCGGAACATTCGAGAGTTTCGCGTAATTTCTTGATAACACGCACGCGCTGGCAATATGACTTATTTAGTCGGGGATTTTTGACGCCAACTAGACGTTCGCTTGTCATACAATCGTGCTAAGTGACACGGCTTGCAAGCACGAGCACACGAATCGATGATTGGTGGCAGCGAGCCAACCACTTGTCAGGGAGGAAGGTTGTTAGACCTGCGAACATGCTTGTCGAGAAACCATCGAGGATGAGAGGAGAAGACATTTGCGCGTATATGTAACGAGACGCGCGCGACGTAGGTCAAGGTAGGCCGGAAACAGTTCTGCTGAAACTCGATTGATGAAAAAAAAGCAACGGGCTGTACTCTCACCACGCGGGATTTCTCTTATTTTCTAAGCAAATAACTACAGATCAATTCGGAGGTACTTCTGCGTCCTTTAGATGAAAAGCTTTTCAATGCTGGCGTGTTATTGTTTCGTGCACTACAATGACTCGCGACACACGTTTTTTTTCTTTTAGATCTCCTTCTTACTTGCACTTATATACGACGACGATGAAGTGAACGCAACCCGGGAGGTTACAAAACATAGTTTTATACTACTTTTTGACGATAAGATTATAAGATTAGTCGTTTCCGCGTTGGCACCGATAAAATTAAAAAGTGAGCATATGATATATGGCTACTAAAACTACTTCCTAATCTATTGGCTTTCATTGTAGAAACTTCGTGCAAGCATTGTAATTTTTTAATTAATTGTACATTTAACCTTGTCATATTATCTCGTGCAATTAAATAAATTATTTTGCAAAGTATTTTACTTTCCGTTAAAAAGTGAAGATAAGGAACGCCGCCCTAAAAAAGAAAAAAAGAGACAAATAGGTCGTCTGAAAATGGCAGAGTGGCAGTAGGTCTCGTTGTGCGAAGCATTGCGTAGAAAATGGGTAATTAATTACCCCGGATAAGGCTAATGCTTGACGAGTCGTCTAATTTAAGTAACAAAACATAGCTGGCGGCGTCGGTGGCGGCAGAGCGAGAAAATCGCAGCAATTTAGCAATTGAGCTCGATGGGTGTATGTACTCAAGTCACATGTGTCGACGGCGCGCAGAGCTTAGAGTTTTTAGTGACGAGAGCCAGGCCGAATTTCGCGGCATAAGGCAGTCGTAGCCGCAGCCATTCTCTCAACTCCTCCTCGTTTGCAGGGCAGCAATTGCTGATGGCTCGAAGGGGTCGACTCGCGAGTATCTGCGACCCCGACGGCGAGTTCATATGTAAGCCGCACACCAATTCACTCGAACGTCGCACGAACTTTCTACTCTCTCTCTCTCTCTCTCTCTCTCTCTCTCTCTCTCTCTCTCTCTCTCTCATGCTAGCACTCTTTGCTGTTGTTTCCTCTATTCTTCCCATTTGCACGTTATCGCGCTGCATGAATCAGAAGTGCATGAACCGTCACTATTCCCAATAATTTTTTCCTTCCCCTCGATTCCAGTCAGCTTTCAATCCCGCAGAACTGCCACCATTTGTAACTGAGTGCATGCTTGGTATTTTCTCAACGGAGCATGAAATGCCGTCAGCCTTATCTATGCAACGGCCGCGATAAAATTTATGTAACGTTCAATTATGCAATTTTTATGAATGCTGCATTGATTATCGGAGCCAAACCCGACCTTGTTAGCATATTTACCAAGAGCATTAATATACAATAACTCAAACGATTATGCGAGCTGGCTGTAATATATTACACATACATAAACGCATCCTCGTTGACGGCTCTGTTTGCTTCAACTTCACACTGCGTATCGTATGCGTTACAAGTTGCTCGGATGTTACTGATTGATTGGCACACGCTTATGTTGACATTTATATTTCTATGTTTTTTGCTCGTTGGCAATGACACTCAGAGCAGACAATTTTACTTAGACTTTCCATTAGTTAGATAGATTTGACGCGCAAATCAAGAGGCAAGCGATACTCGTGAGAAGCGCTCAAAATAAGAATCAATCGTCAGTGGAAAATAATTGGAATTATGCAAATGTATAATGCTTTGGTATAGCTGCGCGGAGTGAGAGACGTAGAAGCCACTCTCTAGATATCATACAAATAGATATCGATAGTCAATATGGGAAAGAAAAAAGTATCCTCGCGACTATCGGCATTTATCGCTTACCCCGACAATGACAGATTATATTTCACGTTTTTTTATCTGAGGAATGCCACTTATTTGGTGTTTTTGAGAGCGTTCAACCAACTCGTGCACACTGCACCCGACAAAGTAAAGGCAGCCAGTGTGATCGAATGTCCGCTCGGACGGGCGCTATGTTTGTTGCAGTAACGCCACCGGCCCAACGCGTCCAATTCATTCTGGGCGAAGATGTCGGGGACGACGCCCATGAGTCGCACCCGCTGTTTTCCGAGATGGAGGAGCTGGTTAGAGACGGCGACGAGATGGAGTGGAAGGAGACCGCCAGGCAATTACCATTCCCATCGATCGTTCAAGCTTCCTTGCGCCGGGCAGAGCACTCATCGGTCCTGTTTTTGTTTCTGTCATTTCGCACAGATGGATCAAGTTCGAGGAGGATGTCGAGGAAGGTGGCAATCGCTGGAGCAAACCTCACGTGGCGACTCTGTCTCTGCACTCGCTGTTCGAACTGCGCAGTCTGCTGCTCAACGGAACGGTGATGCTGGACATGGAGGCTAGCGGCCTCGAGCAAATCACCGACCTCGTGCTCGACAATATGGCCAACAAAAGTGCTCTATCACTCGACGTTCGCGACAAAGTGAGTGTCTATAGGCTGCGGCAGAAAGTGAGCGTACGCCGTAGACCGGAGATTGCGCACGCTTAAATACTCGATTGCGTGCAGGTGCGCGAGGCGCTGCTGGTCAGACACCGACATCAATTCGAGAGACGCAAGGACAACAACATGTCGAGATTGCCGATTATCAGGTCCCTCGCCGAAATTGGGCGCAATCACTCATCATCCAAGAGTAAGTTCTCAGCCGATCGCCTCTCTCGTTCGGTCTCTGTATATACCATATATGAACCGTCTCCTTTGAGAATAAGGACAAGAAAAACTGCCGTAACAAAACAAATTATATGCCTCTCATGACTATACCATTCGATACTCGCAAACTGGATGAACTTGCTCTCCTCTACGAACCAGGCCCGAGACTCTCAAGACACTCCACAAGGATTTGTTAAACTTTCATTTTTTTTCGTTTATACTTTGCTTGGTTCATTGTCTTATTTTCCACTTTTCTTGCCTTATAGTTGCCTTATACTCTGCCACATTATGATTATTTATGATTTTGTTTTGTTATGTATGATTTTTTATTATGATTATTGATTTTGTTTGACCAACACAACTTACCGAAACACATACGACCTCCCGGCCAAACTTTTACAGATTGTGGATGTTCATGTGGTATGCATGCCTTGTTGACGTCAGATTTGCAGGAGCGTCACGGCGACGCTTATGTGCCGGCCTCCGTGGCCAGGAGTACAAGCTGCCCGAATCCAAACACGGCTTTACTCTCCAAAGAGGCCAAAGACCTCAAGGGCCCATATCTATTGGTTCCAGGTATTGTTTAGGCCAGTTGCTAACTACCAAGTGTCGGATGCCTCCTCGATCAACAACAATCATAATAATCCGACTGCTTGACCCGAGAAAAAGCCATGTACTACCATAATCTTTCTCTCTGCCTCTTTCATTGTATTTTCGAGTCCATATCGCAAGCATGTAGATATAAATATCTTGAAACGTAGCTGTTACTCCAATGAAACCAATCATATCAAGTGCATGCTCTCGATATGGGTGTTGCGATTAACATCATGGTAAAAGCAGCATCATGATTACAACGCTTTGTTGGGATAAAATTAATCAGTGCTATGCTTGTGATTACTGACAATTTAATAGCTATAGGCAACTAACCAGATGCTTGTGAACAGCTCTCCAGTTACGAGGATTACGGCGAGAAGCTTAAATAGAGTAATAGCGGATAAATTGAATAGTAAGGCGCGTTTTGATGGCACAATATAACCATGAGTTGCGAGGGCAAAGTCTTTGCGTGCCTCGCAGCTATTAATTTGGAAATCATCTAGGAATAAGTGGTGTCGTAAATTTATCAACGCTTCTCACTTGACCCAATTGTATATATTGCGAATATAACAATCGCATGTATCTCATGGAAATCGATGTTTTCCGTCCATAACCGATGCACTGAGATACCAACAAGTGATTAGCATTTTATGCTTGTTTTTGATAGATGAAATTGGAATGCCCGACATCGTGGGCTTTACCACCTGGTTCGCCATGTGTCCGTTAAAAGGTTAGGATCCAATCCAGTTTTGACTTTTGTCCGAATATTTTTACAATTCATTGTTGTCGCTCACTTTTTCTTTATCTCTCTAGTTTGGTGTATCTTTTCATTGCGTGTTTCCTTTTTTCTCGATTTTTCAAATTTATATTTGTAAATTTTTGATATTCTCTTGGAACAATTTACGAATATTTTTAATGTTTAGCCTACATTCGATTTGCCAACAACCAACGATTCATCATCATTTTATCCTATCTTTAACAGCATCAGTATCTTATCGTAATAAATTGACACATCAATTGTCATTACTTGATCATTTCTTATGTATGTGTATCAACACGTAGTTACTTCATTAATGTGAAGTCATTCAATTACATTAAAGATTTTCTAGAAAATATCTAATTATAAGTGACTATATGTCGACATGAAAATATAATAGTCACTTCTACGTCAATTTTCTACATATATTCCACTTCTCTCGATAAATGACTTCTGTTTGCACACTAAAAGATAATCTATTTTTATGTGATCTATAGCATGATGTTTACCAATACGCGTCTTGCTTGTCCGCTATGTGGGTAATGTTTTAATTTATATAAACACACATGGTATATACAAATGTTTGCATTAATTTCTGTCTTCGTATACAGTACATACAACTCATTGACCTAATTTCCGTATAAAACTTCGCGGTTAATCTACAACTAACAACCCAGTAGTAGATTGATGCAATTCATTGGCGTATATTGAATCCTTTGTGGACGTTGTTCTACATAAAGGGAAATAAAATATTCAAAGATAAAATAATAAAAGCTCCGATAAAAATAGTCTAATATATATAAAACCACTATAAACGAAACAGAACTACAGATAAACTATTTCGCACGACGAAGCGATTGTCCTTTAAATGCAACAATAAAATCATTACGAATAAAAACAAAACCATTAGACGATATCTATTTGGTGATTTATAGTGGAAGAATCGAATTCAGCGCCGGCTATCGCCGCCACGTTGGGTCAGGGCGGCGGGGCAGGACTGAATCCTTCGAGCGGACGCTTTCTAGCGATACCCGGTAATCCTGGTAACTTCGACTATAATAAGGCTTGAACTTCTAGATATATCATGTTATATGCGCACTCCATGCATATCCCTATAATATCCCCGCTACATATATACATATAGTTATAGCTCTCTATTAATTCCAAATCATAGTATCTTTGAAACTATATATACGTATATCATGATACCAAAGCATTTTATACATTATGCTCTGTTGTATCTGTATATTATATAACTATACTGTGCCTGTTTTTCGTTGAAGTACGACAGAAAAATATTACAACAGAATGAACAAGTAAAATTATTCGTCTTTGATCATTCCGCGACTACCGTATATAGATATCCACAACGCCTTGATACTATAGTGAATCACGCTATAAATCGATAGACTCATTTGATTTTCAATCTCAATGCTTATGTGACATGAATTTGACAACCTTGGAATGATGAATAAAAGATTTGTGCGTTTTGTCAAGGAAATCATCGATCGCGAATTGCCATTAGATTTGCACTAGCATCTCCTGCTGCATTAGCAAAAGTTTGGTATTTTATTTTTTAATATTGAGGTCACCTTGCACTTCAAACGAGTTCATATCAAATACGTTTAATTGACTTTAAATCCTCGTAGAATGATCGTTTTTGTACATGATTATAATGTTATTTTGTTTGCATAACAGTATGATAAATGTTCATTCGCGAGGGATTCGTTCTAACTGAAAGTAAGGTTTTGTCGTGCTTCAATTAGATTGACTTAAAATAGATTAACGGGACAAATAAATCTAAAAACTTCATTATTCATTGGATAAAAAAGCAAAAAATAGAGAATTGGTTATTCGCTAAAGCACGAAGCATGTACATACAAAAGCTTGACTCTAGCAAACTACAGTCCTCTATAACATTGGCTATAAGAGTTATACCTGCATGTTACATTAAAGGTGATAAGTCCAAAAGCTTGCGAAACTTTCGCTATATGCCAAAGCAGTCAACTCGATATGGATAATTTTTGCAACTTAGATATAAATCATTGAATGAAAAAGCAGTAGGCAGTAAGCTAGTTGGATTACAGGTCAAGAGCCCGGAGGTATGGGTATGGATCGCAGTCCTAGCTCAATGTCCATCAGCAGAAATCACAGTGCGAATGCTTTGGAAAATGGGGATGCCAATCACAGAGTTAGTCGCATTTTTCACGTTGATGTAAAGCAATGATAACAAATGGTCAAATACATTCTAATACCTTGTTCACGTACCATTTTCAGGGTAATACGCATTTCATGCGCAAAATACCTCCTGGGGCTGAAGCCAGTAATATCCTCGTGGGGGAGGTTGATTTTCTCGAAAAAACTCTTTCTGCTTTTGTCCGTCTCAGCCAACCTGGTATCATGAGTGATTTGACGGAAGTGCCAGTGCCCACCCGATTTATTTTCATCCTACTTGGTCCGACCGTATGTATATACTTAAAGATTATATAATTATTAATTAATTCGGATTTATTGAATTGTGAACGAGAACTTTGTAGGGTGGTATCGCGAGTTTTCACGAAATCGGTCGTGCTATGGCAACGTTGATGTCGGATGAGGTCTTCCATGACGTAGCGTATAAAGCAAAAAATAGAAATCATTTGTTAGCTGGAATCGATGAGTTTTTGGACGCGGTTACTGTTTTACCACCGGGTGAATGGGACCCGACTATAAGGATAGAGCCGCCTGCAGCTATTCCTTCGCAGGTTAATATCATACTTTTCTTTTCTTTTCTCTTCTTTTAATGATCTTTAAATGAATGATAATGTAATTTTCGTCCAGGATACAAGAAAACGTCCGAAAGAAGAAAAAGTTAAGGAAGATATAGACGAAGAAGCTGACGAACAAAAACAACGAGAGGAATCAGGTCTATCGCGAACGGGAAGGCTTTTCGGAGGACTCGTCAACGACATTAAACGAAAAGCACCGTTTTACCTGTCTGATTTCAAAGATGCCTTAGCTATCCAATGTGTTGCTTCATTTATCTTTCTTTACTTTGCCTGCTTGTCACCCATCATTACATTTGGTGGACTCTTAAGTGAAGCAACCGGCAAAAATATGGCTGCCATGGAGTCTCTTGTCTCTGGATTTGTATGCGGCATGGGATACGGCTTCTTTTCCGGCCAACCACTTACCATTTTAGGGTCTACGGGCCCGGTGCTAGTTTTCGAGACAATCGTTTTTGAATTTTGCAAGTACGTATGATACTCACTTGATCTGTTACAAAGAAAAAAAATGGTAAATTATCATTAATATTACTTTCTTAGGAAGTATGACTGGAATTACATGTCGTTTAGATTTTGGATTGGCACGTGGATAACTATTATTTTAATTACTCTTGTGGCAATCGATGCTAGTGCACTAGTTTGTTACATAACAAGATTTACAGAAGAAAATTTCGCTACTCTGATTGCCTTTATTTTTATTTATAAAGTAAGCTGAGCTGTAAAATTTGTGAAGCAAGTGGAAAAGCAGTTAGATTTTTAAACTAATTGTTTGATTTTCAGGCCGTGGAAAACGTATTCGCCATAGGTAAAAAGTTTCCAATCAATACTCACACTAATGAACTTTTGAATTGCTGGTGCACCCCTCCAAATAATACTTATAATACGTACAATTCATATTCATCGGGTAATGATAAAGTCAATTGGTCTATCTTAGACAAAGCAACTTGTCAGGTAAATTTTTATTTTTATTAATGATTTAAAATATAATCGATTTCACTCAGTTTCATTATACCCTTTTCAGAGTTACAACGGCACATTAGTTGGAGATGGATGTGTGACACAGAATTACGTACCCGATGTATTTCTGATGTCAATTATTCTTTTTATGGGTACTTTTATACTTTCAGTTCAATTGAAAGATTTCAAAAATTCTCTTTTCTTTCCTTCAAAGGTATAATTGTTACATTATTTTAAATGTTTTTCTTGAATTTCTTTCTATTAGAACGTGTTTTTCATCCCTTTCTAGATAAGACAAGTCGTAAGTGACTTTGCCGTAATAATAGCTATTCTTTCGATGAGTCTCCTCGATCATTGTGTTGGTATAAAAACTCCTAAATTAGAAGTGCCAGTCGAATTCAAACCGACATTAGAAGGGCGTGGATGGTTAATATGGCCGTTCAATAATAATCCATGGTGGAGTGCTCTTGTGGCCGTTGCTCCAGCACTTTTGGGTACAATTTTGATTTTCATGGATCAACAAATCACCGCAGTTATTGTCAACAGGAAAGAAAATAAATTGAAGGTAATTTTGAGTTGCTACAAATTAGACGAGGCTCTCTTCGAAAATTATAATTTAAATATTGTATATATTACAGAAAGGGTGCGGTTATCACTTGGATTTATTTGTACTAGCAATTTTAATACAAATCTGTTCTTTAATGGGACTGCCCTGGTTCGTAGCCGCAACAGTATTGTCCATAAACCACGTAAACTCATTAAAATTAGAGTCTGAATGTGCTGCACCTGGTGAAAAACCTCAGTTCCTAGGAGTTCGTGAGCAGCGAATCACTCATATACTGATTTTTTTAATGATCGGTTGTTCGGTTCTGCTGACTCCTATGTTAAAGCACATACCAATGCCGGTGCTCTTTGGTGTATTTCTGTACATGGGTGCTGCATCCCTCAAAGGATTGCAATTTTTCGATAGAATACTCATTATGTTCATGCCCCAAAAGTATCAACCAGACTACATGTTCCTCCGGCAGGTAAATATCAAATAATCTATTTGATTTAACTTTTAGTCAGAACCACTTTTGAAAATCACTGTTTCAACAGGTTCCAATAAAACGAGTTCATATGTTTACAATTATACAACTCGCTTGCCTTGCCTGCCTTTGGACCATTAAATCATTTAGCTCCACATCAATTTTGTTCCCACTTATGGTGAGAGACACATTTCAAGCACCTTTCTAATTCATAATATTTTTAACTAGCCTATATTAATGAAGTAAACGTGTATTACGTTACAGCTCGTAGTAATGATCGGCATAAGAAAATCCTTAGATTTATTGTTCACGCAACGAGAACTGAAAATTCTGGACGATGTAATGCCGGAACATCACAAGAAACATGCCGATGACCTTCGCCAATTGGAGAGTGGCGAGGTTAGCACTGCGACTCGAATATTGAGAGCGATAACCTGTAAATAACACAGGAGCAGTGACTCCAGGCCCTCGTGTCCTGTGGTCACTGTTGCTCTCTGCGATTACGATAAAGTAACGCTATACGAGGGGAAAACTTAATTTAGTAGACTAATTTTTGTTAGTTACACGGCTTATATGTCATTTATTATCAATTTAGCGCGCAACTGAACTAACGCATTTCAATTGAGTAAAGCCATCCAATGCGCACACTAAGAATTTGTTGATTTCCAAGAATTTTTTTTAAAACTATGAGTGGTAATTAGATTGTTGCGATGGATTTGTTAATGTGATTCTAACTAAGGAAGCGCTGAATCTCGTACCTGAGAATACATATATTGTCTGGTACAGATGGCATTGAATAATCACTGATCAGTATTAGAAAGATTGTTATGAACTATTACCGTGAATGATTTGAGTGTGGCAATGGCTCACGTAAACGTTATTCTTTGTATTGTGCCAATTAGGAAAATAGCTGAAAACGAAAAAGTACATTTGTTAACTTTGTTGATCTCTCATGATTATTTTCATTGTTTGGCATAGCACAATGTTAATATGTTCTTTTAACGAATTCGCCATGAATAATTTTATTTTATGTAAAGTACGATTGAAAATAATCCTATAAGAGTATTAGCGTTGACAGTTTCGCGTTTTTGCAAACAAGTTTTTTCTAAACGTTGCCAAGTTTTTTAATAACGGAAATAAAATTCCGACACTTTATTGTCGTTGTATTTTTAGGATTTTGTACTGGAAATTTATACAAATTTATAGAATATTTCAACGATAACGTAAAATATATTAATAGACAAAAATTCTACTAAAATGAAAATGATGACATTCCATCACAGACGCGAGACTGTCACTAAAAACAAACATTACACCTGCAATATATACACCCATTTTATATTAAAAGAGAAAAAGAACAACAAAAATGGTTAACTAAAAAGTGTTTGTTTTCTGGGTATGCCAATGAATTTATTAATTGCACATCGATGTATCATTCACAAATTTATACACACTTATACACGAAAGTTTCGTACATTCTTTTATTCTTTTTTTTCATGTAAATACACTGAAAAGTTGATCACCTAACAAATTTCTCGATGTCAGTTCCTTTCAATTTCGTAGCACCATTTCCCTAGCGTTATGCTCAGTGAAAGTATAAAGTCAAATTTTATTTTAATGTAAAAACAGCATGTTTGTGAAAAAAACAAGGTTCTTAATAAATAATCAGTTTCAAAAAGGAATTTTATGCTTTCATTGGAAAACATATTTATAAGCTTTTGAAATTTTGAGAAATATTTGCTTCTACCAATTTATCTCCTGTCGTTGGATCTCGTTTTGAGGTATGAAATATTGTTGGTTTATCAAAAAAAATTGTTTGAGCTTTCTAAACAGATGAATAGTCTAGTGATTGCTTTGATACTGCTTTTATTACATTAACCATAAAAATAGTAAATCAGTGGCAATCATCGAAATTACGCATTTTTTCATGGTCGTACGTACAAGTGTTTTTTTTAATCGTGAGAAGTTAATCTCTGATGATCACAAGACGAAATACAATGCAATAGTCGATCAACCCTCTTATCGTCCATCATACATCGGTACGTTATATCATACATGCACCTACCTTTACCTGTAGTATATATGTACTGGCATCGAATTCCGCATCTCATCCTTATTATCTCATTATGCATGGGCTTTTGGTTTTTAATGATTTATGTCCAAAACATAATGCAGCTATTCACTAAAAGTCATCTGACTACTTTTGTAGGAGAACAACGAACCCATTGGTTTCGAATCATCCGGAAATCTGCAGATTCCTTTGGCGAATGGAAATATCATGAAAATACCTCTAACAAGTATAAATATCAGTGAGGAAGTCAACAAAACTGGAATCTGGCAGCAAGTGAACGAAGGAAACGAGAAATCTAAACAATCCAAGATGATTAAGTAAGTGGTAGAAAAAAATGGGTGACAGTAAAGGTGCGGAACCAGCTAACGATGAAAAATTGCAGTGTAGGTAAGCAAAAAAAGCATTCGAAAAAAGACGCTGTCCTGTCGACAGATGAGACAACAAGGCTAACTACGATGACTGAAGAAGAGGAAGATGACGGTGGAATATCGATCAAGGTGAAAAATGTAAACAACTCAAAATTTTAATCACCACTACTACCATCAATACAACTACTGCTACTAAAACAACAACCAAGATAATAAACACACGGAAAGAGCACGATTTACCGGCATGCGACATAACCTTATGTAACACGGCTGTGAGTAAAATTCACGCGGATGTGAGCTGAAGCTGACATGAACCAGTCGCCTTATAGATGGATGTAGCTTGATTACCAGCTTCTTCAAATTTATATACTTTGCATATCAAACGTGACTAAACACACATTATTCAATTTTATTTTGCATTGGAGCATCGTGGAGCATAAACATTAAAATATACTTAGTGGTTATGAATACCCCGAATGATATTACTTGCAAAAAAAAATTTCCGTTTTTCTTTTTCAATTTTTGCTTAGAGTATTATATTTTCTTCTTCTGATCCAATAGCGTTTTTTGTATGTCATTGTAGACAGTAACATATTCACATTATAACAAAAGTATACGATGTATTTGAAATGCGTCAATATTTGCAGATACGTATAACAAATACGAAATACGTTTGTTACTTCTAATATCTTCAAGCAAATTTTATGTAAGTTATAGCGCTGTGACATTTGCTATTTGTTTGCGCATCAAAAGTAATTGCTTCGCTTTTACATGTAGCTGCTGTGATAAGTGTACACGTGTTAGCACACAACAGTTGCATTATTATCATGAACAATAATGTGTAACATAAAATAAATTTATACCATTAATGTTAACTGCAATTGGGCCATTACTAGAATTTTAAGTTTTGTTCTCTAATTAGAATGCCTTGTATTGACTCATTTCTTGCTACTAACCCTTTTTGGTATTTGAAAAATATTCACTCAATGTATCACAAACGAATACTTTATCATACATACGTAAAAATATCATTACTGGCTTGATTGTAATGACATTGAGTGTTAAACATTTGTAAATAACTACCAGGTACATAGGTATTGACATTTTTTTCTTCCAGGTTGACTTGATACGATCAAAAGATACTAGTCCTTTCAAGGCTAATGGTACTACTTCCGCCGAAACTTCCGTCTAATTTGTATCATCGAAATCACAAAAAACAATTACAATTTAAATAAAAGTAAGACCGAAAACCAAATATGTGAATTAAACTGATGAAGTGGAGCATACTCGTCGAATGATCTCTCAAGACTTTCGAGGTTTTATATAAACTCAACTTATAGCTAAATGTAGATTTGATAGTTTGAAACAAATAAGGAAAGATTGATATACATATGCCATGAGATAAAATAATTTTTCATACAATTTTGAGTTTCGTTAGTACACATTAGTTTTAATACCGTTTTCTTTATTGCCAAAATGGTTTGTCAGTTGATTCTATTTGAAAATTTGAATCCTATTTAATATTTCAATGAAATTGAAAGAAACAATACGTATGCACACACGTTTATGAAAGTACCTACATAAGTCTAGAAAATATGTCTGAGGAAAGTTTTACAAAGGTTAAATCGTGTAAAATGTCATTACTTAACATCACGTATTACCGAATATAAAAAAATACCGTTATGTTCATTCTATTTACTTGTTATTCGTGGGATTGCACGTGTCAGTCAATAGTGTCTGATAAAATTACATCTTTTAGGTAATAGTAATTTTTCATAAAAATCAATATCAATAATGGACAGTTTTCATTGCATTTAACACAGAAACGCACATTTTAATAATAATATATAACTGTATCAATTTATTCATTTTGTTGATGTAAGAAATTAAACGAATTATTTAATGCTTTTAGGAAAAAATGGAGAAAGTTACGCATTCATTAAGTGACTATTTAGGGCAATGTATCATAGTAATTATTTTATCATTTAAACTTTCAATTGGGTATGATTAGTTAATTAATAGTTTAAAAATAGTGCTTACTAGTCAAATTCATTTGAAGAGAGCAATGTTTTATTATAAGAACTTTATTGTTACAAATTGTACAGAGAATGATTCAATTAATGATTAAGCAGAATGCCAAATAAACCCCACGTCAGTGCTTCCTTTGAAGATTATTCTTGACTTACAAATGAATTTCGCTATAATAATAAGCATTAACGTTGTTTGCAATGAAATTATCATAAAATATTAGTAAAATATACTCATATATTTGTTAAGTTTGTGATGAGATGTACTTTTTGAATATAGGTTGTCTATTTAAATATTCAGGTGAGAAGAAAAATCTCGAAATAAGATTATTTACAGGGAATTATATCACAATTCAATGATGACGGATGTACTACAAGGGCGAATGTAATTTTATAATAAATTATATTACTGTTGATTAAACATTGTATTCATGTAGGCATTATGAGAAAAAAAATATTTCAAGTATTCTGTTAATAAGTTGGTTTATTTAATATTAACACATATATTATTGTTATTTAAAAATTTTCTATGATGTGTCGAAAAATACCAAAGAAAGTAACATAAAATTACCATAATCAATGACGTAAGAATGAGTTGCAAAATGTATCGTTTTTATTAATTTGGTATTAATAGCAAAGTTTATATAAGAATATGTTCGATATTAAACCTGGTAGATTAAAAGTAGTAGGAATACTAGTATTAATAATTGGTTGTGACTAGAAAAATATAATGTTTTGAATTCGGAAAATGAAAATTATATTAATATGGATCTATAAATACAACATAATTATTAATAATTTTGCCAATTTGGTTTGTCTTTATAAAAAATCCTTTTTATTAGATACAATTGCACATACGTTGATTTTTTTTATTTTAAACAGACATTCTTTTATTTTAAAACAAGGTAGTTACTGTACTTTGTGTGGTAAAAAACGATATAAGTGTGGCATTTTCGTCATGATCTTGTATCGATGTAAATAAGTAAATGCGTGTATAGATTAGGACATAAACATGGTTCATGTAATAAAAAGTCATTGGTACTAACTTAAATGCGTTTAATTTATTACAAGAGCGCTTCAATCATTTTACAGTGGTGTTGGTCTAAAAAATTTAATACAGAAGTGATATAGATTAAAAATTTACGTACAACTTTTTACATAAACTATTCATTTATTTCATTTCAAATTTGTTATTTTTATTTTTACAATTTTTTATTATTCATAAAATTTACTATGGTTTCTTATGTTTTTTTATGTTTAAACGACTGTTTAAAGTACATAAATATAAGTATGATTCCATCTTTGAGACGGATTCCTCACAGTCAACATATACGAGTATATGAAGATGGGTAAGAAGGAATCTATTATTTCATCATATATATGAGCAATTCCACGGATAAAGTCGATTATTTTGATTCATCTTTTTTATAAAACTAAACTAGGATGCATGCTCCTGTTCTGGACGATTTTAATTAATATTTATCATGTAAAATTGGAAAAAACTTGGGTCCATCACCAGGAAGGCTCGTAACACCCTTTTTTCGACTATAATAGATTTTTTTTAAATGGAAATTTTGAATGACATAGTTAAGTTTGCGAAATAAAAATTCTTTTGATAAATAATGTAATATATCTATTCTTATGTGATTTGACTTGCTGCATCCGAAGCTGCAGTTATAATTACGCCATCGTAAGCCATTTTTTTAATTGTAAAAAAATACTCAATTTTCGAGCATTTTTCAAAAATGTTATATTATTTCGCGGTTTAAGAAAAAGAAGAATTACCACATAATTGTAACTTCAAATTTGGATTCAGTGAGGAAAATTACAAAAGAATATATGTATAATACATTTGGAACAAACAAGTGCAGAAGATTTTTCTTTTAAATGACGAGCCTCCATAAGTAATGTAATTTTGGAGCAAGTTTATAAAAGTTTACCTGTAAATAAATACTTTTGTGTAAATAGTGGCAAATTAGCTGAAAGAAAATTCCCTAATAGACGAAGAGATAGAGCGCTGAAAAGTGTTGCTTTTAAATAAATATAAAAAATTAAAAGACGAATGTGACTATTTATAAAGAAAATTAGAGAAAGTAAAAACTTTTTCATTCGGTCGTAAAAGAAAAATAATTAACGGAAATTGATGACTCACGTGAATTGAAATTCTGTAATTCAATTGTTGAAAATTTTAAAATCAAGAAAAATCAAATTACAAAATCTAAAGAGAAAAACTCGTTCAGTCGATTAACCAACATCTTTTTAATTAAATTGTTCTATATTAAAAGCGGTAACTAAAAAAAAATTAAATAATACAACTAAAAATATATCTACAAAAATAAAGTGTTTTGTTCCAAAGGTGTTATACATAGAGTGTTGTATAGTTTAACTCGCTGAACTCAAAGCTGAAGTCAGAATGATGTAATTTTTTTTAGCCAAGAAATAATGTAAAATTTTTGAAAAAAGTCCGAATATGTAGTATTTTTTACGATTGAAAAAATGATTTACAATGGCTTAATTATAACTACAGATTCGGACTCATCAAGTCATATTACATAAGAATAGAAGTGTTACACTATTTATTAAAATAATTTTTATGTTTTACAAGCTTAGCTATTTAGTTCAAAATTTGCGTTGTTTTTAAAACCTATTTAAATGATTGAGAAAAGGGTGTCACGAACCTTCCAAGTGATAGGCCCAAGTTTATTCAGATTCTATGTGACAAATATTAATTAAAATTAGCTAGAGCAAGAGCGTGCACCTTAGTTTAATTTTCTAAAAAGTTGAACCGAAATAATCGATTTTTTCCATGGAATTGCCAATTGCCTATATATCTTTGTTGTTAATACTTTTAATATAATTAAAACATTAAATTAATACAATAGTTTCCAAAGTTTATATATATATATATATGACTACTATTTTTTCTATCACTTCTTTTAATGTATAAAATAGTCATTCGATAGTCACATCCGTTTACATGGAACGTGATGAATATTGGATTGTGACAATTGTTTAATTTTCTAAAGTACTTTGTGTATAATTGAAGAAGAAATTATTAAGTGATTGTAAAAAGGAAAAAGTGGAAATTCTAAAATTATACATTTATATTACGTGTTAGAAGTATTTGAATTCCGTTATCTTATAAATTTACGTACTGAATAGTGGAACATAAATTTTTTTATTATAGTAGTTTACTCGGACTGTTAGAAAAATATTAAAAATATTTGTTTGTAATCATATACCATCGTAATTCATGGCTGTAAAGCTTTATCAAATGACAAATAGATTGCGATATTTTAGAATTAAAATTACTAATACCTATGACTTAATAAAACCTTGCTTATTTTTATATAAAACTTGTGGTATATTTCCGTACGTGAAAAATAATAACAATATTGTATTATGTAATATAGGATTTTGTTTCTCTTTATTCATTGCTATAATTTGCACAATTTATTTATTAATTGCTATGTATCAATCTATTATTTCCAAAGAAATAGAATTTGATACAGTCGAAGGGCTTTTACAATACAATTGCTATTTTGTATTAGGGACATTTATTACAGTAAACACTTGCGTTTCATACAAAAAAAGATTTTTTATTTTACGACAGATTATTGAAGTTTCAGTTATACTATCTGCAAAAGAATTACAATACATAGCATGTGTTATTTACACCATAATTATAATAGGATATATCTTTCTGTTAGCTCAATTTCCTCACACATATTCAGAGGATTTAGTGTTGTTCATATCTAAAATGTACACGATGTACATAACAATAGTTGTATTTTTAATGGATATGCAATATATGAGTTACGTTATGATATTGAAAATTTGTTTTCAAAATATAAATAAAAATATATTAAAGTTAAAAATGATAAAAAATCAAAAATCTATTCATAAAGCTAAAAGTATAAATTTCTCCCGTAGCGAAATCAACCTACAATTAGTTAAATTGCAAAAATTACAACAAAGACATCATAATGTTAGTGTCATAGTTCAACAATTAAATAAAGTGTTTACATTCCATGTCATAGCTACAGTTCTTATGACTTTTATTGAAGTGACATTTGGTTTATACTTTTTCATATTGCATAGTCAAGGTAGAAAAGGAATTGATTTGGAAAAGCAGATATGGTATAATTATTTTATAACCTCTGTGACTTACTATTCGTTGAAAATTGTGATAATAGTATGGGTATGCCAAAAAGCTAAAAACGAAGCTTCGAAAACTGGTATCATAGTGCATGAAGTTATTTTAAACGTCGATAATGATGAATTTGTTACAGAGGTAAAACATAACACTTTATCTGTTTACACTCAAATAATATTTTCCAAAAGACAAATTCTTTATTCTTTTTATCGTAGCTTAATTTATTTTCACTGCAACTACTTCAATGTAAAAATGAATTTACATCAAAATGTATTACCGTGGATGCAAAACTTCTTACAGCAGTAGGTTCTGATCCATTGAAAAATTATCTACTTTGCTAAATAAATCAAAGTCATTTATATTACATTTTTCAGATTGTCAGTGGGATAGCTACTTATTTGCTCATTCTAATACAATTTCTTAAAAGCAAGAAAAATTTATCAGCAGGAAATAACATCCAATAAATACTTTTCGTATTTGATACATAGTGATCGTGCTTTTACGTATACACGGTTGCCTATACACAGGATTTTACTGAATGTTAAATTTAACATAATCCTTTTATTATAGTATAATATACGCACAACAAAAGCATTACACAGGCAACAAATTTGAGGTTACATTTGTATTTTGTGATTTTAAGTTGTTAAATATATTTTTCCCTACCTTTGAATTTGAAGAACTTTTCTGTAAATAACTTACGTAAATTATTCAAAATGTGATATTCATGAAAATTATGAAATCCATCTAATCAACTTTTTGTATGCCGTTAATGTGACGTTACTGCTCATCAATAAATAGTACTATACAGTTTTATGTCATTAATCATAATTGAAAAGCATAACTATTATTACTACTCAAATGCAATTGAAATATAAAAAGAGCCCTGTTTTTTAATCTTGTTTTTAGTATCGTACCAACGTTTAAGAGCCTCGAATAAGTTTTATTAGTTAGTTCAATGTTACAAAAATGCAAAGCCACAACAAATTTAGTGAATCTGTTAAAAACATCCTTTTTTATATGTCGAATATTTGGACTACTGTCTTTTGAAATTAGAGATGGGAATATTAGAGAATCTCAATCTGGGAGTATTTATTGTTCAGTTATCATTTTCTTTTCAATGATTGTCTCATTATTTTTTTTGTATGCAACAAACGTTTCAGCATTTATGAATAGGATCAGTACATGGACACTACAGGGAAATTTTTTTTATACGCTTTCTAGCTTACTATTATTATCAAATTATATCTTTGGATCATCTATTATAATAATTTTAAAATATCTCTCGTCAACTGCAGCTAAACTGCCGAAAGAAAAGTTACAAAAAATTACAAAATGGGCGTATTTCAAAGATATAACATTGTTAATTCTATTAATGGTTCATACGCCAAAAATATTTTCTGGGCCTCTTTCAACAAAGCTTTTAAAATTACATCTCTCTTATTTGGTGCAATCATTATTTTTTTTAGATTTTCAATACATTAATTATGTATATATTTTAGCCAGTTGTTTTGAATTTATAAACGAAGAACTAATCAGCTTGAAAGAAAATGTTCTCACGGAACAATCGCATCTACTCAGACGAGTCTATCATAATCAATTTAATCCTCTATTATTTATAAAATTACATTATTTAAAACAATGGCATTATGAGCTCAATGATATTATTAGAAAAATGAATGCTACTTTTAGCTTGCAAATTGTTTCTTCTATAATTATTACGTTTAGTGAATTAACATTTGGGTTATATTTTTATATTTATGATTTGCTACACAATAAACAAAGACCAACTGATCAGGAGTGTTGGTATTTATATTATTACGCTGTATTGTTTTATTTTTCTTTAAAATTATTACTACTCACAATGGTTTGCCAGTTCGTTAATGATGAAAACTGCAAAACTTGCACAATTATAAATGAAATTATAATAAATACTGATGATAAATTTTTCAAAGAAGAAGTAAGCTTATATTATTAAATATATTAATATAATAGCATAGAATAATAATTCATCTATCTTTTTAGGTACATATCTTTTCCTTGCAGTTATTACATACAAATAGTGCATTCATTGCTAAAGGTGTACAATTAGATGCATCACTTCTAACAACTGTAAGCATTGAATATTTGAAATATTGGTCAGAAGAAATTTTATCAAAAGTCTATATTACTTTTTTGCAGATGTCAAAAGGAATATTTACATATCTCTTAATATTAATACAATTTTCTTCTACAAATTAACCATTTAGATTAATTTATTTTGCTACAACGGAGTATGGTTTTGCTGTGAGAATGATTTTCTCAAAAATAACTGATAAAAATAACCAGATAAACAGTTATTGGAATAATAATCTAACATAATTGCAATTTTCAAAAATTAGTCGCCAACAATAAAAAATAATAAATTATTTAAAAAAAAATAATTTCGTACAGTATCGAAAACAATTGGCTTACCAATTCATCCAGTATTATGACGAGTCCAACTGTGAAATGAATAGTTACACGTATATTAATTGTTTTTATAAGTTTTTATAGAATATATTTTGAATTTTGTTTAAACAATTGGCCGTATATATTTCATTTTTCCATTACGTAAATTTTATCGACAGTTTTAATTTAAATCGTTACTGATAACGTATGTGAATTGAGATAGTGAAAAATTCCTAAAAATATCTATTGATTGATTGATTTTGTTTTCAATGTATGCTCTCAAGCTGAAACCAGAAGAGAAGGGAATATGATATTATAAATAATGGATTAGCGGGAATGAATACACAAAACTCTTGATTTGTTGAATGACACTAATAGATAAAGACATTGCTGCCGAAACAAGTATTTTCGGTAAATCAAATGTGTATTTGGCATATGCCGTTCTTATATAAAAGAGGTGTATAACGAGATTTTGTTAATCATTCCAAGTGCACAGATTGAATTGCGCAACACAATAGTAGTATAGAGACAAATTACTTTCTCTGCAGTATGATTAGATGAAAATATAATACCCTTTCAATTGCAGAAAGTGCTGCACTATTCATAAAATATTCATGCGATTTTGTTGAATGACGGATCACCTGGACATAAGTCGGGCAGTTGATTAAACGCGACGAGCACATAAAAAAAGAATTGTTCCGATGTAGTCTTTCGAGAAAATAAAATAGAAATGCGTTGCGGGTAGGTTCAATACAGTCGATTTTAGTTGTGCGCGACGTGCACTTGATTGCCTATACGCAGGCGAAATATCACGACCATAAACAGTATAAACATACGCATTTTTCGCGCCGGAAAGAAACATCAATTTCATTAGTTTTTTATTTCGCTATGCGTCACCGTTTCACAATCGCGTCGAGCATGGAAAAACATCAGAATATAAAAAAACAAACAAACAATGTTTATAATGTCCAATAGATAAAAGAACAATTTATCGCACTTGACAAGCAAAAATGTGAAATTCATTTTCTTATTTATCAGTCAGAGCACAGATAAATATTGTTCATCCTCTACAATTCAAGTCGCTTCATGAATCTATAGCAGCCCGATGAAGTTCATTCATGCTAGCGTGCAGTGATGGATGACGCACGGCCGGCCGTGCCACTATCGGCGCTCTCGACGCGCTGCAAGACAAAACGATTTCTCAATTTATCGATTTCCACTCTCTCACTCGGCAACGCAAATAGCTTCGCTCGACGGGCAGTTACACCTGCGCGATATCCGTTCCGAGAAATCGCGCGCATATCAATCGCTCGCGAGATATGTGGACGGACAAGCCGTGGATTACGCAATTTCAATCTACCGCTACAGCCAGTGTCATTGCAATCGACGCGGCATCTTCGTTCCTCTCTAGCTCGTAGCCCGAGAGAGCCGCGAGGATTGTAGCAGCGCGCGGAGCAGCGATCGCTGGCATTCGGGGCGCGCGCCGCCTGCTCCGTTCGCTCGTTCGGCTCAGTTGAGCGCCGACCTCAGCGCGGTGAACGTGTGCCAGGGAAAAGGCGACGCGCGCGCGCACGCTTTCTCCTCGCCGCTGACTCGGCCGAGAAAACAAACGAACAAGCGATAGCGACGATCGTGCAACCGGGAGAGTCTGTGCGCCGCGAGTGCGGACGTGTCGGTGGTGTGCGCGTGGATCAGAGCCTGCTGAAAATCGGGGAGGCGCGCAGTGCCGGCAGAAGGAGAGGAGAAAGCCGCGGAGAGCCGAGATCCGCGGGATGAGCAGCTGCTAGCCCGCCAACTTCGAACGGCTCGCGTAGCAAGCGCATGCCCCGAACTTCTCGACAGGACCGCTGGCCGAGTTCCACTGCAGCTCTCGGCTGCGCGACTGTCGGCGGGGCAGGGAGTGAAGTGAGTCGGCACTCGGGCCGCAGCTGCCGCCGCCGCCGCCGCCTCGCTAGTGCATCGACGGCGAAGGCCGCCTGCGTGCTGCCTGCCGCAGCGCGCTGCCGCGCACCGTTACGCGACGACGCGACGCGGCGCGATGAGCTGTGTCGAGCGTAAGGGCCGCGAGGAGCTTGCACAACAACGATCGCGGAGAGATGTGCTTGCGTCCGCCAAGCTATCCGGATAACGAGGAGCAGCGCCGACCAGGCAGACTTGGAGTGAGTGCCGTCGTCGTTGTCGCAGGTGAGTCTCGATGCGCGAATACAGTTGCACGCGCACGTGAGCGCCGCGCGCTTGTTTGCTCAACAAACGGAGATGATAATCGGCAATGACGCGCTGGAAGTTTCCAAGTCGCTATTGCGATTTCCCGGTAAACAAGTGCGCGCGCCGCCACTGCCGCCGCCGTGGCAGCGAAAATATGTATATCCGCGAGAGCTGTTACGTCGCTCTCTCGCAATGATGCGGTGTTTAAAAAAAGAACGCTTTTTTCCTCCCCGGTCTGCCCACGCGTCGGTCTCGAGAGAGAGGCATTGGCAAATCGGGGACTCACGCGCCGATAATCAACGCGACAGTTATCGCCCGTTAAAAGTGGCAAAATTGGCAGCGTACGCGCTCGAAAGAACGTGAAAATATCTGCCGCGAATCGGCTGAGCCGTGCAGACCACCAACGACTTTCCCGTATAAACACAATAACTGAATCGAGAACGGCCGGAAGCGTGTAGGCGCGCGCAGTCTCTCGGCAGCGTTTGTTGCGGGCACGGCGCGACCTGCACGTACAATCGGCCGGCTGAAAAGCGAAAATAAGAGCGCGAGCTTATCGGGCTAACCTTGGGCGCGCGTTCCAACGGTGAATGAAACGGAGTCTGTGCGAGACTCGACGGTGGGAGAACTTATGGGCGTCCGACGACGCGGACGCAAGCGCGAGACAATGCTGTGCGCGCGCGGCGATCAGCTGTGCGCGCTGTGCGCGAGATAAAAGTGACGCAACTGTCGCGTCGGTCCGTGCGGATGCGCTTTTTCTCGCGCCCGGGCAGTCGCTCTCTCTCTCTCACTCTCCCGCTTGTTTTTGCTCCTATGCAGCGGCGATGCCGAGCCATTGGCACTGCGACTACCGCGCAAAAACGAAAAGGAAAGCTGCGGCGAGTGTTACATTATTTGTACGGAGTTCTTCGGGCCGAGAGTGAATGAACGTTGCCCGATTTATCAGCTGCGCCGACGCTGACTCACTGTTTATTTTTTTCCTCCTACCTCGCACTATCCAGACGTGTTTTTTTCGCAAGAGTGAGTTACTTTCCTTCTTATTGGCGATGGGATGTAAAAAGTTATTTTGCCTTTGAAAGCCTGGAAATGAAGTTGGCGACGAGTTCGTCAGCTTTGCAAATCGGGAAGCTACGTTTGCGAGAGGGTATATCCTTTCGCTATGCGCTCCGCGGTCGTCTTTTCTGTGACTTTAAAACGTCGTGCGTGCGCGTGAGAACTCGAGCGAAGGAGGTCAGCCTTTCACAAAAATGAAATGCCTTCCATCTCAGTATATTGAATTTTAAGCGTCTTGCCTAATAGTTTGATCGTCAAGTACGAGCGAACATTTATTATTGTTATCATCGTTAGCACTGGTATTATTATTGTAACTCGTGATTCACTGTTGCCTTGAATTTGTCGCGAGATACGCGACACGGCCGACATCGCTTGATAAAAGCTGATCTAGATCGCGCAATCCAATGAAACATGCGACAATGTTCGCGCATGGGCGTGCTTCAAATAATTGCGAGCGCTGCGTGACTCGCGCGTAATTCATCGGTTTTTATGACACATTATCACCTGCGCACCGCGTAAATATTATTTTGATAGCCCGTCGATCTTGGATAACAGCGCTCTTCGACATACCGGATCTGAAACAAAAAATGTTGCGTTGCCGGTAAATAACGTCGCGATTCAATCGCCGTCAGCATCGTGCAAGAAATTTATCAGCAGTATATTCTTACGCTTTTATTTATTTAAAAGAGGCGGCTATTTTTTGCGTCTCATGCGTACAGGTCCTCGCTCAATTTATCTATTTTCATTAAAGTTCTGTTAAAAATATCCACGCGATGCTCGTAAACAACAGGCATTTCTTAAAGCCATACGTTTCCTTTCAGAACTCTTTCCGAGTTAATTTATTTTTTTCGCTCGAAGGCAAGCCTAAATTTATCTGTTGTTTGTTGCAGGCCTGCTCATTTAGTTAACGGCTTGTTACAGGATGCGTATTACTTTCTTGTCACGGCTCAGTGCGGGGAGCTTGATGAACGTCCACTTTCGTTACTAAACCTATTGGGAGCACGTCATCTGGAGAGCAGTCTAATATTATCGGGAAAAGGAAAATATAGGAAAATAGGCAACACGTGCTCGTGCCTCGGCGCGTATCGCGTCTATGTTGAACGTCGCGAGTAGATATAATTAGCCGAAGCAGCGCGTATAGTTTTATCTGGGTTCGGCGTAGAACGAACACGTAGTGGAGTCTCTGCCGAAGAGGGTCATTACCACAAGTTGCGTTGCTCTTAGCTAAAGCTTTCTAGAGGTTATAGAACACCGCTGGAGCAATCCTATCCGATCGAGCTATCTTTACCGCCGGCAGTGTGAAGCAAGCACAGTCGTAATGCGTTCACTCTGTCACACTTTCCGCTGAATAACCTGGCGCGCGTGTGTTTATCGATTGGACTTTTGCTTCTCCCCTCCAGTGCCCTCTTGTCTTTTTATATACAGTTCTGCCATTAATAACGTTGACACTCGGCAAAAACAACAGCCCCGACGATCATTTATTACTTGCCATTCGCCATTAACAGCGCGTGAGACAAACGGAGCGAAACTTGCGAGTCTCTCCGTAAAAAAGCACGAGTGTACCAGGCGTAGCCAACTTTGCGCTTCGTAAACATCATCCGACAAACGTGCACGGGCAAAGAGCTGCGTTGCGTCGGAAGTGCGCAGTGCGCGCGAGGAACCGAGTTTTCATAGAATAACGCGCCGAGGGACGCGGATCTTTCGCCTCGGGAGAGAGGAAAAAAAACCAGTCGTGCGCATCCTCTCAACATTCTTGGGCATGTTGGACGCTTCCCTTTACAGTTGATTCGCCGGAAAGTGGAAAGGGCTA